TTTTCTTTTGTGGAGACGCCAACGCACATGTTGGGGAATGCCCAACCACTGCGATTGGTGATCTGGCTCCTGCACAAGAAAATCAAGCAGGTGAAGTTTTCCATCATTGGTTGCTGGCCCACAATTTAAAGTTGCCGGCCACTTTTGCGGAATCTCACTCTGGGTCTGCTCACCATTCCTACTATTCACCTGATGGCAAACATGGGACAAGGATTGACTATGTAGCAGTGCCGCAAGAGGTCTCGTATGAGAAGCTGAACTCTTGGATTGCAGAAGACATCGATCTCAGTGTGCAACGGACCGATCATCATGCTGTACTTTGCCACTGTTCCTTCACAATCATCGCCCCGCCCCAAAGAGGCAGGAGGGAAAAGCCCGCCTGGGATTCCCACCATCTCAGTCAGCAGCTTTTGGAGGAAGATGCATTGTATACTCTGCACTCTGCAATACCTTCAATACTATGGCATGTGGATCCACATGTTGCGGCATCCCAGCTTGCTCATCACACCACAGCTGCTTTGCAACAAGTTGCACGCCCTCGCAAGACCTGGAAGAGGAAGAGCCACATCTCGGACAACACCTGGATGCTTATTGAGAGCAAGAAGTTCCACTTCAAGCACCTCAGGCAGTTGACCCGCACTTGGCGGTATACTATACTGCAAGTCTGCTTTCACTCTTGGCGAACCTCCACAGCACCGGGCACGAGCAACACTTCAACCCTTTGTCAAGAGCTACGATGTGGCCTACCTCAATGGCTGCAACTGCATGACAAGGCGGTTGCCCAAACAACCCGACAATATCGACAGGCAACGCAGCAAGCCAAGCAGGCGATTCAGGAGGAAGACACCGCCTACTACCAGAATCTTGCCTCACAGGCGGCGCACACCTATTCGGTTGAAGGCCTGACAGGAGTGTGGAAGCACTTTCGTGCAATCCTCCCCAAGAACAAAGGCAAGAGACACACGTTCCAGCATGATCTCGGACCTTCGCTACTTCAACATTTTCAGACCCTTGAAGCTGGAGTTTCGCAAGAATACCAACAGCTTCGACAACAATGCATTCAGCGCAACAACAAAGAGATTGCGGCCTGCCCACCTTTGCAGCACTTTGATCTACGGGAACTTCCGACTTTGGTTGAAATTGAAGATCATTGTCTCAAACAACGCCCACACAAAGCGGCCGGGCCAGACGGAGTCCCATCATCTCTTTGCAGGAATGGATCCGTTGCCATTGCCCCGCATCTTCATTCGTTGATTTGCAAAAGCTTTTTGCTTGGCATTGAACCCTTTCCACACAAAGGCGGCCATCTCTGTGCGCTCTTCAAGCACAAAGGAAGCCGTGATGATGCCGCTGCTTATCGGGGCATTCTCCTGGCCGATTCGTTTGCCAAGATCACACACGCATGGACCCGCCAAAAGCTGCTCCCGACCTTGCAGGCGAGACGCACAATCGGGCAGCTAGGAGGTTTGCCCTCACAGCAGACGCTTACGGGCATCCAAATCCTCCGACTCCATGGCAGTGTAAGCAAAGCGGCACAACTATCGACCTGTACGATCTTTCTGGATTTACGATCGGCCTTCCACCATCTTCTCAGAGAACTGGTCTTCCTGACATCGGATGGTTTGACGGAACGAGACCTCGAGCAAATCTTCAACCAGGAGGACTTTGACATCCCGGCCCTGGCCAGCAAGATTGCTGAGATCATCTCTACCAATCGAGAGGACATTCCTCCAGGTCTTCAGCGATTCCTGCACGACATACATCATCAGACATGGTTCCAGCTGCGAGAGGCTTCTGATTTCCGTTCAGGAGAGTGCACTCAAACACGACGTGGCTCCAGACCCGGGAGCCCTTTAGCTGATATTGCGTTCAACCTCTTGATGGCCGAACTTCTTCAGGATCTGCATGAGGCCCTGTTGAACAATGCACAATATGTTGAAGGCAGCTCCGCGCTTGGTGTGACTGTGCCCCCAGTAGCATGGATGGATGATGTCGCAATTCCGTTGACAACGACCACACCTGAAGCCCTTGTGCCCCTGGTCCAGCAAATCACTGCAGTAGTCCATGGTCTTTTCAGAGCTCGTGGCCTCACGCTCAACTTAGACAAGGGGAAAACTGAAGCCGTTCTTTGCTTTAGAGGACCTGGCTCTGATGCACAACGTCTTCAGATTTTTGACACCGGGTGCCAGCCAGTCATTGTTGTCGATGCAGACAGCCACATCCTTTCTCTAAGGGTTGTGCCGTCTTACAAGCACTTGGGTGCACAATACACCATGAACATTGATGTGGGCAGAGAAATCCGAGCTCGGCTTGGAGCAGCACGTCAGGCCTTTGAAGAAATGAAAAAGCCGCTCTTTCTCAACAAACGACTCCCTGTTGCGGCGAGAATCCAGCTGTTTCAGAGCCTTATTCTTTCCAGGCTGCTCTATGGTTGCGCAGTGTGGACAGATGTTCCCAATGCTCTCATCAAGAAACTGGAGACAACGCTCATTGCCTATTATAGGCAAATACATGACATTGGCTTCTGGAATCAAGACCATGTCACCGATGACTCCTTCCGCCGTGCACATCAACTTCCTACATTTCGACAGTTTTGGGCACGGCACAAGTTGACTTTCCTGCAACACATTGCGCAATTTGGCTCAGTATTTCACAAAAGTCTTAGCTGTCTTGCCAACCCAATTACATCCCTTTCCTCTTATGCTACGGCCCCCCGTTCTCCACCGACCCACTCTCATTTTCTTCAACAGCCTTTTTCTCACCTTACTTCTTCATATGCCTTCCCCCTCGCCCCTCCTTTATTAACCCCCCCTCCCTCCCACCCTACTCCTCTTCTCCTTTCCCCCCCCTCCCAACACCAACCCCCACAGACTCCTACGTGAACTTTGCACTGGTCGAGGCTGGCTTTTTGAGATGCGGGATGACCTGGAGTGGTTGGGAGCATTCCGGCAGCTGCCTTTTGAGCTCCCTCATGACCGGCCTTCTTGGGTCAGCGTATGGGACGCCCTACGCAGTTGCCGACCATGGAAAGCGTGGATCAGGAAGGCTTGTGCCAAGCACCTTGTACAAGAACAAATCGCATGGGAAGTCAGCACCCAGCACACCATCATTCTTGATGAGCTACGGACTGCTGGCCTGCAATTATTGAGTGATGTACCGGATGTTTGTGACCCAAAACCTTATGCCTGCCCCCAATGCACTGCGGTCTTTGCGACTCATCATCAACGAGCTCTCCATGAATTTCGTGTTCATGAAGTGCTTGCTGAGGAGCGCTACTATGTGCAGTCCACGGTTTGCAGCGGATGCCTGAAGGACTTCCACACTACCTTCAGAGTAACGCAGCATTTGCGTTATCGGCCAAACAAGTGTTGGGACCGACTTCATGGGATCAAACAACCGGATGAACCTGTGACTCTTCACTTACCAGATCACCTTCAGGGTGTTTGCAGACTTCCTGCAGTGCGTCGTCACCATGGTCCTCTGAGGCCCACCTCACACCATCGAGAGCGACAGCGAGTTCGGCAGGCACTCCTTCAGAACTATGAGGAGGGAGTCCATGACTACGCATGGTGGCAGCCCGATCCTGCCACTCCACTGGTCATAACATGCTTTGCCCAGCTTGCAGCATGCCTTCAACAATGGATGCTGAACCCTACGGAGGAGGCATTTCACAACGACTTCTTCAACCTGCTCTTCAACTTTGACATCCCGGAGTTTCAAGCGGCCCGGATCTTCATTGCTTGGATCGAAACCGAGTTCCAGGATTTGCACTCAGCCTGCGACCCAGAGCTCTATGATCTGTTGGAACGTAGCCACCTGTCCATGCTTGAGGACATCCATATCTGGCAGCTGCGTGCGCGCCGCAAACACCTGATGCAATGCTGGGACAGACTCGAGCAAGGCGAGCCCAAGCCTGCCCGGGCGTCGAAGAAGCAGCCCATGCCTCATCAACGCAGCCATCCAGTTCTGTCCACTTACAGAGCAATGCCTTCTGTGGAAGCAGACAGGCGTCACTGGGTGATTCTTCACCCCCCGAAGATCATTAAGACGCTTGGAGCAGGACCTTACTACGTCGTGCATCTCTATTCAGGGAGGCGCCGTGATGACGATTTTCATCACTTCATGCAGCAGTTCTTGGAGGAGGGCCCCCAGCAGATCTCGCAATCAGTGCTGGTGATCTCCATTGACACGGCCATCGACGCGACCATGAATGTGCACGATGCGAAACTATGGGCCTTCTTGCTGGAAGCTGCGCGGAATGGGCAGATCCTTGCTCTCCTACTTGGACCACCCTGCGAAACTTGGAGTGGTGCCAGATTCGAGGAGCAAGTCGATGAGGAAGGCAAACCTATCAAGGGCCCCAGGCCATTACGAGGAGCACCAGATCTTCCCTGGGGCCTTGAACAACTCAGCCTCAAGGAGCTCTTTCAGATATTGATAGGGAATGGCCTTCTATTGAAGGGACTGCATTTGAGTGCCTGCGTCGCTTGCCAGGGAGGCGCCGTAGCGCTTGAACACCCTGCACCGCCCCTTCAAATTGAACGCCCATCAATTTGGCGAACTGCAATCGTCAAACTCCTTTGTAGCGCCGGGATGCCCTTTCGGCAATATACGTTTCAACAATGGAAACATGGCGCCAAAGGAGTTAAACCCACCACACTGCTCTACGCACATGCGGCGATCCCACGAGTCTTCGCAGCGAATGAGCAACCGCAGTTTGTGCGTCCAACAGCTCCCCTCATTGGAAGAGCTGCTGACGGCAGTTTCAAAACTGCTGTGGCAAAAGAATACCCAGCAGGCATGAATTTTTGTTTTGCCGAGGCGTTTTGGCTGCACATCTCAGCCCGCTTTGCTCGGCACCAGGCTCCGACGACCATTCCCGGAGCCTCGAAGTATGTACAGGAATTGGCAAAGATCTCGGCCTGCGTGGATCGCGACCGATCGATCATGCCTGACTACCAGCCTCTGCACTAGGCTGGATGTAGCATGACCGCCACAGGCTAGACCTAAATGGCAGAAGAAAAAAATTATATATATTATATATATATATGTATATTATATATATATATATTTATATTATATAATATTATATGTAAATGCAATCTGTCCAAAAGAGGTTGTTTGCTTTTTGATCTTTTTAGCTCCTGAGGAAAAAGCATTAAAAGTACAATGCACTGATATGGCAAAGCCATTCGTTTGACCCCTCCTGAGTGATAGCGTGATTCATCTGTGCAGGCGTCATAGAACGGCGCGACTTTTCCTGAAACAATTTGAACAATGCTGCTCTATAACCCCCTTGTCCAGTTTGGTGCCCCAAGAAGGCCTGTCGAGTTCAATCTGCTATTCGATGTTGTTCCTACTCCAAGCAGAATAGCATTGAACAACCCTCTCTTGCGAGAGAAAACAGTTTGAAGCTTGTCACTAGCAGGCTTTCTCCTGGTCTCTGGACTCCTTTGAGAGCAAAGTCGGGTCACAAAAAGAGAGATAGCAGGTCCCCGCAGGAGTAAGACGTTGATGCCATCATCTGTGAATGTCTGGGTCACATCTCGCGGTCGCAGAGTTGCACAGTGCGAAGGGTTCATGGATTCGAGTACGTGTTTGTATTGGAAGTGCCAGAACTAGGTAGAAGAGAGCTTCTACAACTCAAGAGATGATAGAGGCAAATGTGCATATCTTGAGGAAGATCTTCTTGACCCAAGCAACAAACAAGGAGGAATAAGACCGTTTTAGATTTTGGATCTTTTTAGACAAACTTTCAGATCTTTTTGGATCCTTTTGGCATCTGGCCCGGCGAATATTGGAGTTTGATCCAAGATGATCCAAGAGCCCAAGTGGTGTCAGACGAGCGGAGGAGTTTTTGCCAGGCTTCGCTGTAGTTGAGGTACTTCCGAAAGAGTGTGGTTTGAATGAACATCCTCGGCTCCGGGCTTTTCGGGCTTGGGGCAAGCTGAGCAATCAGAAAACGGAGAAAAGTCAATGAGACCTCAATATCAAATGCAGTATCAAATGCATGTCATTCCAGAAAGGTGAGAAAATGAGTTGGAAGCAGTGTCGGTCATGCCTGGGTTTTACCATGTCCTGCCTAACAATGGAAGGCCCGCCAGCCCGCATGCTTCTTTTCATGTTTGTTCACGCGGGCTTTGCACGTCATTGCCAATCTTGAGTTGAGATTCTTTGTGCGTCCTTGGACATCTAAGGATAACTTGTAGTAGTCCCACACATGTAGAATCGACAGTGGCAAAATGTAAAGCATGCCAATGACAATCGCCTTGGGTCGCAGCTGAAAACATCCACTTGCAGCGTGAAACATCGTGTCGTGAAACATTTGAAAGGCAGAGAAGCCGCTTTCGGAATTGCTTTGAGTTTTGTTTCTGGTCCCCAAACACCAGAGGTTTGAGCAGCAGAAAACTTTAGAAGGATTGAAGTCAGGGGGAAAAACCTTTAGACTTCCAACAAAGGAGCTCATTCAGAGTCATTCATGACAGCTCAGCCATATTCAAAACTCATGACACCTGTTGTGTTGAACGACCTGCCATGTGCCACCCAGCAACACAAAGGCGTCGATCTGGGAAAATGAGTCGCTCATTGGACACCGAGGTATCTAAAACAACCTGAAACAATGCTGAAAGAATGCCGAAATTTCATGAAAATTCCACAAAATGCCACCGCTTGTGAACCATTGTGAACAACCATTGCGAACCCTCTCAATGATCTCAATGCGATGTCGAATTTGTCCTTCCTCATTTCAGCACCAGTCCAGCCGGTATGGTAAACAGTCCGGGGATCCAACCTGCTTGAAGAAAACTAAAAATGAATAAACAACACTTGGATAAACCTGGATGAATATGGATAAACTAAGTTGTTCAAGCGGCGTTGATGAGGTATGTCTTCATTACCAAAGTGAGCATCAAATATCCATTCCTCAGTGAAGATTCAGCAGAAGTTCATGGTTCGAAGACTCTGGGCGTTGAGAGCATAGAAGAACTATGATAGAACTATGAATTTAATTCTTTTAATCATATGCATCTGCTATTCTGCTATTGCTTTACGTCTGCGTTTGCAGCTGTCCTGTGGCTAGAGCTCTGCCGCCAAATGTGCCAGGCATCTTCATCTGGTCAAAGCAAATCGTCAAAACGGTTCTCCAGGCCATGCCTTCACCTCGAATCGACACGGCCCGAGGGAATCCCCCTCGGGAATCCCCCTCGGGAATCGACACGAAACGCAACAAGAAAGAAACCTGTCCCAAGATTCCCAAGACACAGTTGAATATGTATTTTCAGGTTTCAGCAGTGGTAATTCCTATTACACCCAAATGGACTGATAAACCTAAAACAGGGGACAAATACAACCGTTAAGCTAGCGGTCAAGCGCCTTTTTACTCGAGCCGCAATGCTAGTAAGCATGCTATGGTTACAGCTATGTTTTTACATGGGATGCAAATACACCCCCCTCAGGTGAGCCGGTTACGGCAAGGCTGCCCATTTACCAGGGCGAGGTCTTTAAGACCTGCCTTACCGTTTCAGCTCTTTGCAGACCTGAGGAAAACATACAAAAGTACAGCGGCTATATACAATCGATCGTCAATGCAAGCAGTGTCAAAATTTATCCCTCTTCCCATTCGACTCGGCCATGCCTGATAACCTTTTGGTACCAGCGCCCATGCCACTTCTGCCACTCATTGGTGAACTGTCGATCTTCACGGGAATGACTTTGCTGAGGGCGATTGAGCCACTGACTTGCTGACGTGGATGATGATGCTACCTCTACGGTGGATGTTCGGGCAACCGGATTAACGGTGCCTTTCTTGGAGGGCCCCTGGCCGTACGCCCCAGTCTGCTCAGCTTTGCGCTTGGCCTCGTTCTGTTCGCGAGCCCTGTCAGACTGTTTCTTCTTCTCCGCAGCGTTCTGCTTGTACAGCTCCTCGTTTTGGCCCTTAATCCACCTCAAATGCCGTTCAGCATCATGAACAGCAATGTTGTCAACGCCAGTACAAGACAACAAAAGATTGTGCTGAGGATTCCGGTTCAGATAATCGATGTATTCTTCCTCAGAGTAAATTTCAGTCCGGTACATGTAGAACCACGGCTGATCAATGTACCTGAAGGACTTCGGGACGTCAAGACGGCTGGCAAGATCCAAGTAAACCAGCCTCATTGCGTTGTGCTCCAACTGAGACTGCTCGGAAACACCCATCTTGACCTGAGCCTTGGTACGACCTGGCTTTGGCAGATGTGCAGACTTGAGGAGATCGTACCTTTCACAATCGTACTCGTTCTCCCCCTCGTTCAGCACGCTCTCTGCGAATGTGGCGTCCTGGGCAAATCTGTCTGCCACGGACACAAAGCCCAAACTCAAGGCACGGTCGAATCGGCTCTTCGCCCTTGCTAATAAACTAGCTTCAGGGCTTGAGCTTCCTCTTGCCTGGTCGTCCAATAAACCCAAAGATTCCAGCTGACTGTGTGTGATGCTCTGCAGGTACTCGCCACGGAAGTCGTAGAACAAGCCCAGCTTGTGAAGGGCGGCCTTCCTTCGCTCTGCAATCTTGGTGCGGTCGGCCTTGTTCACCCCTTCGAGCATCAAGCCACACACATCGCATTCAATCTGTCCTTTGAAAGTCTGTGCAAAACATCTTGAGGACTGCGTGACTTCAATCTTGATTGGCACCGGCTTCTTGTCCTCCTTCTTTTCCTCTTTCGTCGAAGGTTGGTCATCGCCTTTAGGGCGAGACTTCTGCTTTGGCACCAGTGACTTGGATGTTGATGCCGGCGTCTTTGAAGGTGACCCTGCAACTGGAGCTTTTGGGTCTTTCTGTGCTGCCTTTGGCGGTGCGATCTTTGACACAGGCTCCAAGAAGGCCGCAGCTGATGATGCCGCAGGCACAGCTGCGGGCATGCTGGTCAGGGCTGCCTTCTTCTTTGCAGGTTCTCCTTCTGCTGATGCATCAACTTCTGAGGTCACAGCCTTTGGAACTTCTGGTGCACGAGGTGCAGAAGTCCCTTCCTTCGGTGATGGTTTTGGAGGTGCTTTTGGCGGTGTCTTTGGGCTTTCAACCTTTGCTGCAGGAGGCTTTGGAGCTTCGCCTTTTGGAGGAGGGGGCAACAATCTGCTGCTTGCATATCCAGGCATACCGGCAAGTTGAGCCACATTTGGTGGCGGAGCCTTCACCTTTCCTGGGAAAAATGCTGTTGCAGTGGGCGCGCCAGTTGAGGCGGCCGGAGACTTGGAACCAGCTCGTTTTGATGCCTTGGCCTCAAAGGTCTCGACAAGCTGTTGGACTCCAACTTCTCCCCCACTGCTTGTTGCAGAATGTGCAACCTCCTGATGGCGACGATACAAATTCACCTTTTTGGCAGTGTCATCAACAGAAATAATGTATTGAGGCGGCACGACATCACTTGTGAGAATGCCGTCGGAGGCTGTCCTGAAAAACACAATTCCAGCTTTGACTGCCTCAGCCATTGCAACCCTGATTTCAATGGGTCGCTCAGCACGTAGGCCGCTGACATACTCTTTCTCGTTGACACGCACTTCACTAAAATAGGAGTGTGCCCTGCCTGATGAATTTCGTTCTCCTCCTCCAGCCATGAAACCATTCTCAATGATCCCCTTCCAATTGCCTTTCGTAGTCCTGTGATAGACTACGCCTGGGCACATCTGCGGTGTTGTGATCTTTTTGCCCTTGGCGTTCATCTTCTGGATCGCTGCCGCACCGGACAGCGCATAGATCTCCACCGCATTGAATGTGTCATCGGCTGAGGCAGCATCCATGGCACGCTTTGTGTGCCCCTGCACTGCACGGATCCTGATGGGCCAGTAGGCTAACCCTTTACGGGTTGCCTTCTGGTATCCTGCAATGCACTGGAACTCAAAACGGCACTTGCTGTCCCAGTAGAGAAGGGAGATGAGCTCTTCAACCGTCATTCGGGGTAACTTGGCTGGCAGCATTTGATTGAACATTCGAAAGAAGTCATCAAGGTCAAGCCACATGTTTTCATCAAATCCAGAGGTGTCCTGACCTGGCTGTCCACGTGTCACTGCATTGACCTTGGTTTTGTGTCGGTCCATGCGATCTGGGTACCTCAGCTCCTTGGCTCCATCCATCTCCCAACATGTTTTGGTGATCAGTTCGTATGGATGGGAGTCCACAACACAATGCTCAACTACATCCGCATTAATGTTCTCGTCCAGCATGATCCGATACTTGTCAATGTGTCCAAGTGCATGTTTCGGGATGATCGTGCCTTTGAGCTCATTTTCCTGCGTGGGCTCACCGGCTGGGGTGGCCTGAGTTGAGTCTTCCTGTGCAGGTGGAGCTTTCGCCTTGGGGTCAGGAGGAGCTGCATGACTGGCCTTTGCCTTTCCCACCGATGGGCCCTCATACTCGTTGGCATCCAGGGCATTCCATGGGTCACCTTCAGCGTCATCATCATCGGCGACACCAGCATCAGTTGGGCGGTCTCTCAGCTCCTCTGCCGTCAAGCTTTCTGGAGTCGAGACGCTTGGCGCAGACTTGTTTGTCTTCTCCCGCAGAGCAGTGGGGACCTGCACAAACCTGACTGGGAGATGCTCCATCTTTGGTGAGATGTCACGCATAGTAGCTTCCCCTGCAGGACGCCTACGCTTGTACAAAGACAGGTTGTATTGGGGCACCAAAATGTCTGTCATGTGCAGCATGTGGAGAGTTGCCATGACATATCCGATCATCTCACTTCGGTTGAGCTCGGTCTCGAATGCGTGAAAGTAGTCCCTGAGCTCAAGCCTCGGTGGAAGCTTATCATTCTGAATCCACCTGATCCGATCGTTGTCACTGGCAATCTCTTTGAAGAACCATTCCTTCAAACGCTCCACAAATGTGGTAAAAATGAGACTCAATCCATAAGTGAGCGGGTCGGGCTCGCCGATTAGGGCGGCTTGATCCACTCCCAATTCCTTGAGCTGATTGTTCCACCACACAATGTTGCCCTTGACCCTGTCCATGATGGCATTCCAGTCGCCCTGTGGTTCCCTCTGCCCCCAAATGGGAAGGGGTTCAACACCGTATTCCCCACAAATTTCATTCCCAGACCAAAAGATTACCGAAATAACCCTGATGGCTGATCCATGAGATGCATATTTCGCCATCAACTCCTTGATCATGGAAATATTTGCTTTGCAGAGCTGTTGCAAATCCTTTCCCCAGAGCATGTCATGACCGATTTCGAGAACCATGTCCGACTTTCGCAATCCCAGATCCTCCTTCAAGGTGTACTTCTTCAAAGTCCTACCCTTTCCAGTGATCAGAGCCAAAGTTGAATCGGAAGTCACCACGTAGATGGTGGGCACGACGTCTACCGCCGGCCTTGAAGTCCCAGGGACATACTCAGTAGGCAAGTTCAGATCCCACAGCGAGTCGTGCTCGAGCTCGGACAGATGGCGGATCTCCTTTGCCCACGGCACGTTTGTCAGGGCGTCGGTTGACATGGATTGCGCAGTGAAACATTGCATTAATCCTGCGGCAATCTCAAGGTCTTCCGTCCTGTTTCCTTGCGCCAGGATCGTTGACGAAGCGAGGACTGTTGAAAAGATGTCCTCCCACCCTGCATGCTTATCCCCCTGAACATCAAGGCACTTCCGAAAAGCAAGCCACTCCGACATGTTGCTTTGTTGGGGCACGGTTTTTAAACCGGCCGACTTGAGAGCGCGCGCGTTCATCTTTTCAGTGATTGGCAGATTTGAATCATCAGAACGGCGGCTCATGGCGGGCAAAGCTAACCTTTTCCTGTTCTTGGCGGTTTGTGCCTGGTTAGCTCTGGAACGAAAACAATCATGGATAAAGTCAGTCAAATTGAATGTATAGTTCTCTGCAAGTTTCAATGCGGTACCCCGGCTTTGACCATGAGTGTGAGAACCGTCACAAACGTATTCTGAAAGACTTGACAACTCATCCATGTTTGTGGCAATCATCCAACCCTTTTTCATTGGGTTCCCGTCCAAGTCAACAACCCCAAACTGGCAACCGTGGAATGGATACAACTTCAACTCTTGTCTCTTCAAAAACGATTGGACCATTGGCCATTTCCAATACTTGCAGTTCTTTGAGAGTTCAAATGCAATTGAAAAACGTGGCCCATCGATTTCACTGATAATCTTTTGAAGTGATTTGAAAAGTTTTGTAAATT